CAGACCTTATTCATCTTGGTGAATGCTAAAGCACCCTGGCTCGTTTTTAAAAAAGGGCAAAAAACAAAAATAAAGGTTGGTTAAACCCCCCCCCCAAATATCTAGAGTTTTGATAGTTGTTCATTTTTACTTTTCCCCACATTTCGCTTCTTGTTAAGTATCTGCACATTAAAAGGAGTATCATTAAACATTTATTTTGCCTTAAACACAAATCATAGCAGCTCCACATTCAGTGGACCAAACCAGTCGTAACATTTCAATGAACTCCGCTACTGCATGTTAAGTTACAGAGACAACAGGCATTTCTATTGAGTGGAATGTCAATATTTTATTAAGATGACTCCAACCTATTTGGAAACACATTAATCTTATCAAAAAAACAAATGAGTTGTTGCCATAATCAGTGCATGTAGTTACCACAATAAACTTTTCTGGCTAAAAAATAAAACAATGCAGGTCAAATTTTATTGTAAATTTCTTCCCCATTTCAAATGTTTGACTTGAAATATTTAATCAATTGTAAAGCAACTTTAAACAAATGCTGACTGACTTCAGAACAGACAAGGGCCACTGAGTGATTCCAAAGTGTAAAAAAACCTCCCACAACCACTGCATTACAGTCAGCGCCTCTTTTGGCCCTCAGACCCCGACAAAGTGAGTTCCCCAATAACAGAACAGAAACAGTCCAAGTCCCTGCATGAAGACTCAAGCCATCACGACATTCATTTCCACTCTTCACACCACAAGTTCACTTCCAGTCTTATTTTCTCTTCCCCATTGGCATTCTGTATTAGTCAGACTTCTCCTTCTCTTTCATGTGGAGGAAAACTACGCTGAAGACAAAGAGTCCAGCCATCATGGAGAAGACACTGGCATAGTATGGGTAGGCTGAGGGGATGAAGCGCTCATACTGGGTGTGCTGCAGGGGACGCACCGATACCTACGTTGGAAAAACACAACTGTATTAGTTAGCAAGCCATACAGCACATCAACTAATAGGTTACTATGTTACTATTACAACAAATGATTGATAAAAGAACAGAGGTAGTAACCAGGATGATTAATTGAGCAATACTTTCCATATTTACCATTTCTATACATTTATCTTATAGTAAATAAATTCAACATGATTCAGTCTTTAGGAGGAAACTTCTGATGAACTTGCCTGAGTGGAGGAGTAGAGATGTGTATATCCTAGTCGGTTATAGTCCACTTTGAACTGGAAGACTCCATACACATCAGGCAGCTTGAACTGGACACTGTATTTACCTCCTAGTTGAACAACAATGGAACATTTATCATAAATGCAGTTTGAATATGAAGTCAACCTGCCTAACATTATAAAAACAATACATGCAGGTTGTAAACAAGACGTAAATGAATGCAAATGTATTCTATAACACAATACCATACCATTTTTCTTGAGATAAGTCCTGACGAAGGGATCGATCCTCACAAACTCAAGCTGGATATCATCTCCGTCGAATGGGACCCAACGGCCCTCGGACAACATCTCAATGACAATGCTGTATTCCTGCACGAAAAGGGTTTACAGTGATTGAGCAACACTGCACTAAAAACAAATATCTTCACGGTGATGATAACAAACAGACAACAAGACCCACCACGAGGTCGGTGATGGTGTATGCTGTGGGGGCGTCGGTCTCCCCCACGCGATGATGGGTAACAGCTCCCACTCTGAGGACTCCAGCCTCCTTGAACACCCAGCGAGACAGAGCCTCGGCCAGCTCCATGTTCCCTGTCCGCTCGTGCCTGAAAAAGCCCACAAGGAGACAAACACTGACATCTGTAACCAACTATATTGTAACCAAATCTAATATCAGTGACTAGTTATTACAATCTTACATTTTAAGACTGTTTTCCACCTACAGATTAGCTTTAGGAGGTCAAACGCACTAAACTGCAAACTCAGTGGAACACATTCTAAGCATCTAAACTTGCAGAAATCTGCACTAAATGTGTTTGAACTTGTAACATTCACATGGCAAAAAAACAAGCCAGGCCATCACTGACAGGAGTACCTCTGTGAACCTGGTGTGGCTTTCTGCACAGCAGAGTTGAAGAAGGCATCGCTGAAGAAGTCCAAGGAGCCACTAAACACCACTCTGGCATTGTTTCGAGCCTGGAGGCCAGCAATCAGCAGGGTGTTCTTGCCAACAGCGTGGGGGTACTACAGCATTAAAAAAACACAAAACAACAACATTAAAAAAGTAAAATTAACTTAGTACCTCCTGTCCCCAAACGGTCATGGCCAATAGCTGCCCCTCCCTGAGCGTGGTTGTGCATGAGGTTTGGTCCTGTTAAAAGGGGTGATACTGAGAAGTTTTTCTTCTCACTATCAAGGTCATCTGATTGTTGTAGCTTTCCTCTTCACAATACAATATAAAATGCCTTGAGGTGACTGTTGTTTTTATTTGATTCTCTCTATAAATAAAATCAAATTGAAGTGAACTGAATATCCATTCAGGCTAATAATAGTTATACAAGGATCTCAACTCAACTTGTTTATTATTGGACTCTACCAGCGTAATTTTGCGTTAAAAATAGTTGAAAATAATCCTTAATCATCTCATACTGGGCTTGGTGCTGCCCTGTTGTTCATTCTGCCTCAACAAAGCAGTTTTAGCTCCACCCTTTGTTCTGAAACTTTGACCACGTTATACATCGCGGAGAAAATGAGGTAGTGCACAATAAGCTTGTTCCTTTTTCTTCCAAAAGCATTACTACACAATTTTAATTTTAAAGGGCTACTTATCATGCCCGGGACAGTTTCTCCTGAATAAATCATAATTCATTGCCTGACATTATCATGACATGTCAACAGCATTACCTGTGAGATGGGTCTGTCAGGGAAAAAGGAGTAGGAGGTGGAGGACCCAGTAAGGATGTCCAGGACAAGAGGGTTGTCTGGGTCTGCCACCATGCTGGAAGAAGTGAGCCACATTCAATATATTTTCCACTGAGCATGGGAGTTAATCTTTTACAATGACTAAAAATCTAACAACACTATCTGTTACATCTTCTGACACAAGTCTCTGCTCCAGCTAAAAGGATGAATTTATCATTTATTACACATCTTAAACAGTGTGAAAATCACTGTGCTTACCCGACACCCTTGAATAAAACAGGTTTCTTGGTGGGTTTGCCGACAATAGTGGGAGCTTTCAGCAGGTTCTCTGGGTCAGCGACAATCAGGGTATGCTGGAGTTACAAAAGATCACAAATTACAACAACATAACAAAACATAAAATGGCAGCTGTGTAAATGCCAAGCCATTTACCTCTCCAGGATCAGACACATCATAGTTGTGATGATCAATGACGGCAGTCTTTTCCTCGTCAAACTCAATGCCACACTCACTGCCCAGCTCCCTCAGAGGGTCGCCTGTGAAACAAGAACAAAACAAAAATACTTGAATGATCATACTTAAACATTTCAAATAATATAAGACTGGAACAAACACTGTTATAAATCAACTGACCGATGTCTGAACTTGCAGCAACCAGGACATTGCCCCCACCATCAATGAAGGATGTAATAGTCTCCACATTTATATTTCCACCAAAGTCTGCGGATGACAAAAAAAGTGTTTACCTTCAGGAAGAAATCACCTGCCACAATTTATTTATTTTTTTTTGTTTTAATGCTGTGAAACTCACCTTCAACTGATGGTGAGAAGATAATTAAGTGGTCATACAGGAACTGGCCATATTTGATCAGCGACAGGGAGGGATCATCAGCGGTCTTGAAGGTGAGGTCAAATCCACGGTCTGAAGAAGACAGATGCATTATAATTAACAGTAACAATGGTGTACTAAGGCTTAAGTTTTAATACAGTGGTTTTTGAAAATTAGGACATGTTTACTACAACAGGATACAGCAAAGGTGTGCAAGCACTGATGTTGTCTCTAACAAAAGCATGTAATATCCCCGAGTATTACAAAAAGTTGTATTTTCAGACATATATACGTTTTGTTTTACATGTCTTCTTAAAACAGTAATAACCCAAACTGTATGAACTCCTCTTTTGAAGACGGTTGCCTAATCAGGAAAGTGGATTTCTACTACTACTGTACCTACCAGTAAACCAGAAGAGCAGAGGAGCGGAAATGCAAATATGCACGGAAATGCATAGTATTATTTAAATAATTTTAACAACAACAGCATCGAGCACATCTTCATCCATATAATTATATTACACTGAGTTGTAAGAGACTCAAATTACGTTAGGACCGCGAACACATTACAGCTAAGCTAATGTTAGCATTCTTGCTATCGTGCATCAATTTCTGGTCTAGCAGCGGCTTTTTGTTAGCTGCCAAAAACTTGCTGATGCCCGGTAAACGAGGCATATATACGACTGCACAGCAGAGTAAGTAAAGCTGCAAAAAATAGTATTATCATACTGACCTGCCAGACTGCGGAAGAAGATTGAATGGGTGTCTTTGATGTTGAGGTTGTCCAGCAGTACCAACGTCTTACCGTCAGCCAAAGCACAATGCAGCACGGAGGCTAACGACAGCAATAAAAGGACGCTATTGTCCAAAAGCGTGAACCGCCTCGTTGACACTGTTCCGGTTCGTTTTTTGAACGATGATAAAGAACCGGACCGGTTCGTCTGCATGACTGCTGTCAGCGCCGCCATTTTGCTGCAGAAGTCGACGTCAGCGTTAGCAGTTGACTAAACTCTGACCCTAAGAGGCAGCCAATCACAAAGCGGAACGCGTCGCTCTGACTGCCGGTCAACCAATAGCGTGAGAGCTTCATTGTAAGCCTGGCAAACAGGTAAGTCCAGGCATTGAAATATAAATATGCACATTTTTACTGAATATTTACAACAAAAACGGCGTTTAAACGACTTAAAGGATTATGCCTTTTAGCTGTCATTTAAGTTATTTCTGTTTTTAAATAATAAGCAAGGCACATAAGCCTTTGTTATTCTTTTTATTTATTTTTAGTAAAAACAAGAGCACAACACAAGCAGTGGCAATTCTTTATTGAGTTGATGGCATCTTCCAGTAAAAGTAGTATTAGGGGTTTTACCCGAGCATTCTGCAGACAAATTAATGACACAAATCAATAGTGACAGAAAAATGTCTTCTGACATTTGTCAGTTTGTCGTCACTGTACACAATTCTAATCTTTTCAGAGGTAACATGACAAATATACAAATATTATCCAAACACAAGATTTACAACACCTTGCTTCTGTAAAAAGGCATCAAGTGTCCTTTACTTTAGTTTAGTACTCATATATGTTCATGTAGGTAGCCTTTGAATAACATTCTCTGCATGAAAATACTTTAAGTACAAGAAAAATATTTTGGATGTTTAAAGAAAATGATTATATTATTATTTCATCATAAAAATGGGAAAAATATCACATAGAATTCTTTTCTTTAAATTATACTGGGTAAGACAGACTTTAAAATGTTTTATATAATGGACAAAGCACAGTCCTACACTGAAGTCTAAAAATAAACTACACAAAGTAGCATAACCACCTCTCAACGTTTACAAAAACTACTAGATCTCACCTTGTTTGCTGAAAACAGAACATGACTACTGATCACAAATCTGGAAAGAATTTTTTTCAGGAACAGTGTCTGTTATGAATCCAGTTCATATTTAACAAAACTCATAAACACACTTCATTTCTTACTTCTCCTTATACAGTATAAATCTCATTTCATTTACAAGCAAAATGACACACACTTTTAACAAATCTGCCCCACTACGACTGACTCTCACACTCCATCTCCTGCTCCTTGTCCTCCTCTACATCTTTTTCATGTTTTGATCTCAGTGGTGGTCTCCACCTGTCCATCCTCCACCTTCTCCTGAACTTCCTGTTCTGATTCTTCTTGTTCTTGCGCCTCTCCAATCATCCCGTCCTCTGTTTCTCCCTCTCCAACCTGAGCACGGAAGATTAGCTCTCCTTCGTGGATGACCTGTTCGGGTGTGGGTTGCCATGTTGCAGTGGAATCCCCCTCGGCAGTGGTGGCTGCGGTGTACTGGTAGAAGTCGGAATCGGCCTGAAACATGACCAGGGCTTGAGCTGTGTGGATGCGTACGTGCTGAGCTAAGGAGCTGGCATCCAAGAATTTATCGCCACACGAATCGCAAGCGTACAAAATCTGCGTGTTGGGATCTGAGAAGAGAAGAAGGTTTCATGAACAAACGAACCATTTTTCAATCAGTGTCCTGTTCTGTGTAAGAAAAAGGAACTGGCTTCTGATGAAGTTTACGGTACTTTTTACAGTACTGTAATAATACTTCTCATTGAGACCATTTAGATGGTTATGCAAGTAGCTGTGTACTTCAAAATCTGTCTCACATACTCATACGTACATATTCAGCTTCTTTTACTGATTATTGTTTTCAGGGTCAATAAATAGACTTCAGCTTATAAGCTTAACACTCCATACTGCTTCTCCCCCAAACCATGTCTGATATTCTGTTATCATTCATAACATTACATGTTTTTATAATGCCAGGTCTTACCTGCTTCTTGCACTTTCTCCACGGCCTTGGTGATTTCAGCTTTCAGAGCTTCAGTCTCATCTGCAGAAACCGAAGCAGCAACTGGAACTACTGTTAACAGACACAAACATTTGTCACCGTCTGTGCCTCACTGCCATCTACAAACATCTGTGTTGTTGATTACATTCTAGCCTTGAAGATGTAGTCTGACCTGTCAGCTGAGCTACAGAACTGGCCGCCAGGGCCTCTGTCGCCAGTGTGACGATGTCCTCCGTGGTGACGGTGACAATGTTGATCTCGCTGTCAGAGGTGCATGGCCCCGCTCCTCCATCACCCCCCTCGTCTGCGCTTCCCTCTGACACCACCAGCCGCTTCATGCCGGCCTTGCCCTGGTGCACAGTCTTGACGTGAGAGCGCAGATTGTCCACGCGATTGAACCCCCGACCACATTTATCGCACAGGAACGGCTTCTCTCCTGAGACAACAAAACAAAGATGTAGTAGTCAATTGACGGTGAAAGATCAGAGTTCTGCTGGATGGATACAGATGTGGTGGGAAACAGAGACTTAGCTGCTCAACAGGTGAACCCTCACTCTCCCATTTTTCCTTAAAAAAAAAAAGCCTTGTAACAAATTCGGTCTTCACCTGTGTGAATGATGATGTGCTTCGACAGGTCTCCCACATTAACAAATGCCTTGTTACACATCTGACACTTGTGCGGGCGGACGTTGTCGTGATGGCGAATGTGATTGGCCAGTTGACTAGACTGCACAAACCTGCACAAAAACATATATACGTAGATGAGAGGAAATATATGATATTTCCTCTCATCTACTTTACTGACACATTTATTCATTTTGTTCACAAGAAAATAATCTTTTAAACAGTGTTTTAATCTCTAATCTGGTCAATCTCAGTACTCTCACTATCATTTGAATGAACTATAACAGGTCACTGTTACTTGACCTTTGAGAATGACCACAAATCTATATTATCTTCAATTCTCATTACCGCCAACACAGGTCAAAACCTCTAAACTACACTTAATATTCCCCTCTCAAACATCCCTGTTAAATAATGCCAGTTTCTGTACCTCAGCTACAAGTGAGTTTGAAACCTGAGCCTATCATTGCAGCACTGTGCCGTGCTGACCTTTTACCACAGCGATCGCAGACGTAGGGCTTCTCTCCCGTGTGCTGGCGGACATGAGCGATGAGGGAGCTGGCCTGAGTGAAAGCTTTACCACAGATAATACAGACACAGGGCTTCTCTCCTGCAACATATAAATAAAACTGTTTCACTATCATGGGAAGTAGATAATACTCACACAGGGATTCAGATGGAAGAATGAACATAAGTTCCCCAGAATCCGACTGTCTTGAGAGTACCTGTATGGATGCGCTCATGCCGCTGCAGAGCTCCGGGATCACTGAAAGCTCTCTGGCAGTGCCCGCAGACGTACGGTTTCTCCCCGCTGTGAACCCGCAGGTGCCTCTTCAGATTCCCTAAAAAGCAAGTATTAGTACACACAGATTAGACCAAATGGCTCAAAGAATAAAAACAACTCTACATAGTAACACACCAACTAAAAGCAATTAAATAATTTTGTTCATGTATGGTCTAACTATTGGATATCACACTTTATTTTAATCGTATTTATCATTATTTTAATATTACTAGTGATATTATAATTATTACTGAATCTCTAAATATAACATTTGTTGTACTTGCATGCAGTTTAATGGGTTTTTCGTATATCCCAAACCATTTTCAAACTGAATAACACTGACTAACACTACCTACTAACGGAAAGACGCAAAGTAGGTTTCTGTTAGTAAGTACAAAAAGAAATAAATAAATAAAATAACAAATCAATGGTGTATGTTTTGATTTTTTTTTTTTGGTCCTTAATTTCTCTCAAGATCAATATGAGAGGTAGAATTTGTATTCATGAAGAAACAGCGAGCGTTTTATTCACGGTGACAATAAAAATGCAGAGAAAAAAAGCAACATTGTTATTACTTCTTTTTTACCTGAAGTGGTAAACTGCTTGCCACATTCTTTGCACTTGAGAGGCCCGTCTGTGATGTGGATTTTCAAATGAGCTTTTAGATTCCCAACCTAACGAGGAAACACAAAACAACAAAAATGTTCCATAAATGACACTTAAGTATATGCACGCTTAACCGGGGTGACAGCCAAGCCAGTATGACTTTATTTAAGTCTCTCTGGCGCAGGTTTGGATAGCACTAGGGACCTAGCCTGGGGAACCTTACTGTATCCATGCCCTGCAGAGGATTTGTACCCTGACCTGTTGTTCTAAAGAGAGTCATGTTGTTTTTCTCTCCCTTCCCTCACCCACATCCAGCTGCAAAAGCGGGCGTGGAAGGTAAAGTCCAAAGTGGTCTAAGTGGTAACCCCCAAACTGTATCATTCCCAAGGGGTTTGAGGCAGAGTTATATATATATATATATACAAACAGTGAATATTACTATCCAGCTAAGATTTTTCTATAGAGATTGACAGACCACGTGACTTTCGCGCATTGCATGCCGG